CAAATAAATCCACTGAACAATAATTATTTTTCTGTTTTTTTTTTCTTTCAATTTTGTACATCAATGACATTATTTGGATATGTTGCTTGATAACAGTCATTAAAGATGACGACCTTATTTCAAACAGATAATGTTCCTTGTTGTAAAGCCTGGTTTTTTTTTTTTTTGCTTTGTCTAATGTCTAATTTAAATGTTTTTCGTTATCAAATGTTAACAACGCCTAAGCTAACATTAAGTGTTTTCAGATCTGCAGAACTGTTAAAGCAACAATTACTCCTTTTAAAAAAGCTAAACAATATCTTTGTTACGGGGTTATCGAAAAAATTGCACAGCTATTGCTGTAGATGACATTTGTATAACTTAATAAAACTGCTAAACAAAGTGCTCATTTCATTTTTTTATTATATCTGATACTGTTCAACGATAACAAATTTTGGTTGTTTGAAAATTGGTGGTTTTAAAGTTTCTTTTTTGCTCATCTTAGAGGACACGTCAGATTGGTTTTTAGTCAACTAAAAAAAAAAAATTTGGAATGTGTTGAGCATTAAAAAATGCTGAACAAAATGTTGATGAAGTTTTCATCTGTCAACCAATATGACATCTTTTTTTTCTATTTTGCTCGCCTCATTTGCCTCGTTTTACGTACTGTTGCAGCACAATAATGCCTCACATTACATATATATACTTAATATATCAATTTGTTGTTGTTGTTGTCTTTGCTGTTGATCTGTTTTCTATCTTTCAGTCTAGGCACTTACAAGCTAATATAAAGCAATGACATTAGACTGATGTGAAACGGAAGAGCCAACAACAATAAAAAGAAATTATCCTTTTTTGTCTCCTGTTTTTTTTTTTTTTTTTACACTCTTCTTTTAACACCCAAAATTAATCTATAGTTCTGTTTTCAAAAAGAAAGAAAAGAAGCCAGAAGATAAAATTTTTTTTGTTCTGAGTGCTGTTCAGTTAAGACAAAAATTAATGGCAAAAAAATACTTCCTAAATTTTATCAATTTTCTCTTTACTGTGTGTAATTAGTTTACGATGAATAACGGAATCACCTTTTTTTTCTTTAGCATATATGGAGCAAAAAAAGCCGTATCAGACTGTTTTATAATGAGACAAAAGTATGTTCAACAGTAGTATAAAAAAAAAAATGGTGTTGTAACAGTTGATGAAAGGTTGCAAACTTAAATTAGGCATTTGTTTTAATTAAATAAGGTTTGTTTTGAAAAAAAAACCTTTTAATTTTTGTTTCGTAAACTTGTGACAATATTTTTCTTATGATAGACAACTGTTTGTCATATTAGAGGATTCTTTGTCCAATTAATCAGTTTTGTTGATGTTTAGAACGAAGCCTACGTTTCTTACTTAAAAAGTTTAAGTCAGTATTGACCTGTAGCAGCTGATTTTCAGACGACTGATTAGCTGTGTTTTTTATGGTTTTGATTAAGTATTATCTAAATAATTGATAGAAAAAAAAACTGTTTTTGTTTTTGTTTTTTTTTCTTTTAATGCTTTAAAAATCAGTTCTATAATTTATGGTATTTTCCATTAGTTCAGTAAAGCATCGTGTAAACAAAAGGAGTGGTATTAAACAGCGGTACCAGCTAAGTTGAAACAAATTTTGCTATTATATTTTGTATTCATCTATGAATTTGAACCACATATCAAAAATTTATGATCAACAAAAAAGAACAAATTAATTAGGTTCATAGAGCACAAAAAAAAAGTGATGATACTGCTATCGGTACTTTTGCTGTTTTGCTGCTGCAAATAATTAAAAATAGCAGAAACAAACTGAACAGATACAGAAACAAATAAATAGCAGTAAGAAAACGAATTTAACAATATTTGTTTTGATGGTTTTGATGGTTTTTTTTTCTGATTGACCATTGATCTATCAATAATGTATTAAAAAACGTATTAAAAAAAAAAAGTGGAATTAAGCAGATAAAAATTTGTCTTAATCATCTTTTATTTGTTTCTTTTAAGTATATCAAAATTATATTAGGATTATTGAAAAGATACCAAAATGATGTTGACAATTTTTTTAACAGTTCTATAGATCGTATAAGTAAGTTTTGTAGATAATAAAGCCTAACAATCTTAGCTTACAATATTGGTGTCTTACACTACAAAAAGCTTCAACTTTTTTGGTCAAATTTGGTTTACCAAAAGGAAGGGCTATACATACACTTCTCCTTAGAAAAAAAAAAGTACTTCTTCACGAATAGTTATTTCCATTGATTGAAATTGTTTGCTTTATCAAAATTTAAATTAAACCCTTAACTGTTTTCAATTTTTTAATTTGTTGATCAATCACAGTATTCTATTGAAATAGCACAGAAAAAAGTTGTTATTAACACCTCTATGCTGTTGTTGTTTTTTTTTTTTCTGGGGTATTGTTAATGAAAAAGAATAATAATTGGAATATTTTAGTAATGATTATTTGTTGATAAGAATTCGAATCATCAGATATATTTGTTGGTCACCTAAGTGATAGTAAAAACAAAAGCAATTGTGTTCTTTGTTGCTTTTATAAATTGTTAAATGTATGAGATTAATATTTTCTTTTTTTTTTTAGCATATAAATTTTAAGCAATTACTTAGCACTACTTTTTTCTTCTTTTTTTTTTGGAGAGGAGAAGGAAGCGAAGAAAAGGATGAGAGAAGGAATGTAAAAATTATTTGTTGTTGTAACTTTACAATATGGGTGTGTAACAGTTCCAAAGGCAGATAATTGTCGACAAATATATCACATAGATCAAATGTTTCTTTTCTTCTTCTTTCAAATCTTATACTATTCTGCTGGTAAACTTTTTTGCTATTTCATTTTTGTTCTACTCTTTTTTCTCTTTTGACTTGTATTAGAAAAAAAAAACTGAGAAAAAAGCTTAAAATAAAAATCAAATTAGCAATAATATAAGAACAATAAATTTTCTTCAACAACAGTCAATGCTGTAATCAGCAAGAAATATGCGTAGTTTTGAAAAAAAAAAAAAAACAGAAGACGGTTTAAAACTTATTGCTGTAATATGGTTAAAACTGAAAAAATTTTTCAATTCTTTACAACCTCTGTGAAGTGTATACACTGCTGTTGTTTTGGTCAAAACAGATACGAAACCCTAATATACCGTCTTCTCTGAAAAAATTCAGCTTTTTTTTTTCTCCTCTTCAGAGTTATTGAGGAAAAATTTTGCATTTTTTACGTCTGAAAACAATATGTGTAAAACAGTAAAACAAATAATTTGTTGTTTTTTTTCTCAATTTTTATTGAAAGGAAAAAAGAACACATGAATAAAACAATACTTTTGCAGTTTTCCTTTATTAGGTTATACTGATTAGTTACAGTTTTAAGTGATGGTTAATCCGGTTTTCAGTTTACTTTCTTTTCAACACTTATAATGGTGATGCAGAAGGTGATATGAGGTGATTTGCAAAAAAAGAAATGGAAAATTATGAACAGTTTTGAGTTCAACGATCAAAACTAATGTTTATTTTTTTGGTTTTTATTAAGTACATAGCTTTTTGTGATGTATTGATAAGAAATGATTATTACAAAGATTGATTCTTCTTGGTTTCTCTTTCTTTCTTCTCTTCTAATTTTGCTCTACATTTTGCTTGTGGAGACGCGGTATCACTCTTTGTTCAGTAGTAGAATCTGTAGACCGATTGACGTCGTTTCAGTAGAATACCACACAATTTGCATAGTTCGAGTGCAGGCTTCAGGCATTAAAACTGTATAGCGTACACCGGTGATTCAGCGTTGTAATGAGATTTTTTTACCACATAACGTTGTTGATGGCCAACTGATGGAGAATTGAAATAATTTTCCGGCCTAAATTCGGCAATGATCGGCAAGTTATGACTTGGGTATTTTTTTGGATATCTTAAAGTTTTCCATGGTTTATATGGTTGAAAAGCATAGGGGAAACTGTAATGTGGTTGTGTTAAATTGGCCAAAACAGCGGCATTCTGTTGTATGGATCGCCAGGCACTGATTACCGGATGTGGTGTATCCGACAAAATTTTGACTATCTAAAAAAAAATTGAAGAATTTTTTTATATTGTTCAAAACTACTGTCGATAATTTTTTTTTCGTTTTTTTTTTTTACGTTGTAATTGTTACTATGGTTAAGTAAAAATAATTTGAAAAGAAAGATTATTAAGTAGAAAAAAAAACTCTTTCTTTAATCATTAATTTTATTAGCAGTTGTAATATGTTGTAAAATAACTAAACGTTTAAAGTAAAATATAGCAATATCTATGTTTTCATACAAAAAAAAAAAATTTTTTTCTCTCTTAATTTTATTAAGTTTATAAGCGAAAAAAAAATTGGAAGGATAGAAAACCACATTAAATAAGTGTAACCCCAAAAAGAGAATGAGAAAGAAAATTATAAGTAAATTTATTTGATGCTTAAAAATAACTCATTAAACTTGTTTAAACATTAAAGTTTTCTTTTTTTTTTTTATAAGTTTCTTTAGGTTTCTAAAAGTTTTCTATTCTTATTTGCTTATTTATTTTTTTTTTGCTTTGGAACGTTAAAGTTTACTGATAAAAGAAGTGATAAGAAAAAAAACGACGACAAAGCACAAAAATGCATTTAAGAAACATTTGCAACAACAAAGACAAAAAAAAAAAAGTCTAGTCAAAAAAAAATTAAACTTTTATTTTTTTCTTTTCTAAGACTACTTTAATATGTTATTATAAATACCCAATAAAAAACATTTTTAAAATTATAGATTATTTGTTGCTGCTGAAAAAGGAAAAAAACCAATTTTTTTTTTTAAAGCCATAAATTCAAGTGAATATGAAACTGTTTGAAAACACATTTATTAGGTACGTCGTAATGACTGATTGATTCGTTTTCGTGACTTCATTTTCACTTTTTTTTATCTTTATTTTTATTTTTTTTGGCAAGTAGAAAAAAGGTCAAAAGAGATTGGCAAAGAGGAATGAATTTGGGGTACTGAGAGAGAGGGAGAGAGTGAGTAACGATGAATGAAAATGGGGAAAAGCAAGAAATTCAATACGATTATCCGATCCTAAACAATGGTGACTTTACTGCAGTAATTTTCGTTGAACAGCTGAATATACTGAAGTCGATGATAGATAATAATAATAAAAAAAACTGTTACATTGTCAAATTAATCAGTTTTTTTTGGGGGGGATGGGATGAAATAGAAAGGGACAGGACAGGTTGGGACGGGACGGGACAGGACGGGACGGGACGGGATGGAACGGAACGGGACAAGACGAGTGAAAGGTCTGACATCGATGACAACGAATAAATTGATCAGCTTCTAAACTTCTGATACATATCACAATACCTTCGTTCTGTTTTTCTTCCTCTCCTTCCGTCTTTTCATATTTTCAAACTGTCAAATCAGAGAGAAAAAAAATTTTCTTATACGCTGTTACCGTTGCTTTTTTTTTTGGATTTAAGGATATATATAGTCTGAATAATTTATTTATTTATTTATTTAATTTTTTTTTATCTGCTTCTGCTTATAAAATGAATAAATAAATAGACTAACCACTTTTTTTTTCTTCTTCTTGCTTTTTTTTTTCTTCGGCACTCTTTTAGGTTTCTTAATAAAGGAAAAAAAAAATTTTGTGCTGCTGCTAAGTAAAGCGATATATCAGATGTGAACGACGACTTAACCGTTCATCAATGATGCACTCAGTTGTTTCAGCAGTATTTTTTTTTCTATTCTTAGTCACTTATTATAGTTGTTTTTTTTTTTCTGCTTAACTCAATACAATGATTTTTGAACATCTGTTCTTAACGTCTGTTTTGTTCGTTGAAAAAAATTTTTGATTTCAACCAAAAGTTATTTCACAAAGAAGGAAAATATGGTAAAAAATAGAAATTTTTTTCAGCCCTTTTTTTTTTTTT